GTCAAACCTGTATAAACCTTGGAGTTCAAGACTGTGGAGAGAAAGCTCTTCTACAGAATTTATCTTAGAACATAATGCTAAGAAGTCTGCTTGTGTATCTTCGGTCAAGCTTCTACATTAAAAGCTTTTATGGAAAACATTTAGCAAGGTTTATAATCAGGAACTACACCTGCAGATTCTCATTTTATTTGTCTACTTCCACATAATCAAAAAATCTCAGCATGACAGGATGCAAAGTAAAGAAGGACTGGATTTTAACATGAAAGCATCAGTAGTGATCAGCTGACCAGGGTGTTCAGTGCTATATACTGCCACTGTCAAGTTACACTTGCTGTTTAAGAACAGTACAGGGAGCCCAAGTCTTCAAGCTCTCCCTCTTTGTGGAAAATTGCTCACGTTAACTCAATAGGCTCTGAAGAGCCCCCAAAATGGATGCAGATCAACATATGCTGGAATTTGAAAGACAGCAACCAATTCCTTTTGGCCCCCCCCCCCATGCCATAGACAGATGTGACTCATCAAGGGGCCCATGGAAGCATATACTAGAGATCAAGCAGCAGCATGTTAGCAAACTTCAGCCAGCTGCTTATGATGGTAATGCTCATGCTGGCTCTTGGAAAGAAAGAGGACAATGCTATAGCACTACAGGCAAAACAGATTACTAACATGCTCAGCAGCTGCCTGGCTACCCTGAGACTCTTCCCCAGCCCTCTGCTGAGGGCACCAGCCATACACCTGAATCTCCCTTCTCATCCACTCCCAAGCCATTCTCATGAATCCTTTACCTCCCACCTTCCCAAAACTTGTAGACATCAAAGCACCTGCTTTGAACACCTGAAAAGCAAGGGGCCTGACAGTCAAGAAATGCAACTCTGTATCTTCCATGCACTCTCTATTTTTTTTCCACCATCTCTTTGAAAAAGGTGGCAGAGATAAATGGAGAACAAAGAAACAAGAAAAAGACACAGCTTTGGCCCACACCCTGCCTATTACTTAAGGGGGAAGGAACTCTTCCGAAAGAGGAGGAAAAAAATGTGCTCAGACACAATGGCTCAAAAGGCCAGGCAGCAAACCGGGCCACTTTGTACTGCTAACAAGGGAAACCTAATTACAGGAAGAGGGCAAAGAGGGACAGATAAAAGGGATACAAAATTTCAACATCTGTTGCCATAAAGGGATAAGAAGTGGGGAAACGCAAAGTGTCAGTTTGGTGTCAGTGACGGCATAAAGCCACTTTCAAAGGGCTCAGGAGAGGGAGAAAAACCGAACAAGAAATTAGAGGGTTCTTAAAAAAAAAAAAAAAAAAAGCAAAAAACCACTCTGCCAAAAATGCTTTCAAAAGGGGGGAGGAGTTGGACAAAGACTGGATATTTAAAAGGTAGAGGATCTGGGTGGCTTGCAGGGCACAGCTAACTTTGGTTCAGTTTTCACAACAGCTCTCATGCCCTGCATCTGTCATGTCATGTCACAGGAAAGAACATTGTAGGATTTGTGCATTCAAAATGTTCACAGCATGAGGACTACCATGCCAGACAGATCACTGGTCCACCTCAAATATCAGGCTTGACAGAATAGCTCCAAGAGATGCTGCAAAGAGACCTGTGGAGTATCCTACCTTATGGAGAAGGATCCTTGAGGCAGGGCATTTGTCACCTAATGACATGCAGACCACCCCAGTAAGGGGGGAAGCAACAGTTCTCCACAGGCAAACAACAAATGCTGGCCTTGGAGCTGTCCCCAGTGGTGCATCACCCTCCTCTTCCAAGGAGTTTAAACTCCCAAAGGTGATAGGAAGAGAAAGAAGAGGAGGATCTGAATAAAGTTTCCTTTTCTCTTGCATGCCATTAAGTGGTTATTCTGCTGAGCCACACACTCACACTGGCAAATGAGATAGGAAAGTCAGAATAGAGAAAGGCAAAGGGGAGCAAAGAAAGGTATCTGACCTGTAAGAGGGGCAGCTACCATCATGTCTCACTGACAGAGAGGCAATGGGACTTGCAAGAGGCCAAGGAGTCAGCAAGGCCCGACACTTCATGAAAGGACACAGGTTAGTATCCAGTGGCCCACACTACTCATCGCTCTCCTTTTCCGTGCAGGCCTCTAATCAATGAAGTTACTCACAGCTGCCTTCCACACACACACACACCTTGATCCTGAGTGGGAATGAGTGCACAGCAACTTCCCCACATCTAGAAGCAATCAGATGGCACAATGCAGCATCTGTGGGATGAGAGATGTCCTCCAGAGGTGCAGCTAGCCAGCTTCAAAAGCATAAGAAAAAAACCTAAATCCTCCTTCATTACAGGAGAAAGGGCCAGGTGTAGCAGCATCTGGAATTCCAGCCATCAGAGACAGTGTCTTGGCATTACGCAGTCATCCCCCTGCTTTAGACTCCCCTTGACAATTGCTTGTTGCTGCCTGTTGTGGCTTTGATCCAACGCCATCATCTCAGCAGAGTCAGAAATGAAAGACAGTTGTGGGGGTGGGATGCAGCAAGAGGCATTTCCTTTCCCCACTAAAAATTTCCTTGATGCCAAACCCAACCAAGCCCTTTTCAAAGCACAGGACATATTTACAGGTGAAGATATTATCCCCTTCCTATTGGAGGGATGAGAATGGCTGCCCCAGGGTCAGGGAACAGCGAAGGTCATAAAAACGAAACATACCATGACCAACAGCTACAAACACCAGCCAAGGACTTATCTGGCATGGAACTAAGATGATCAGTACACAAAAGGTTATTTAAGCTTTAAATCCTTTCTTAGTATGTTCCAGCTCTCAGCTGTTGGGGAAAAGAGACCACCTATCTCAAGAGAAGAGAATGGCATTGAAACCGCTGCACTGTTACTTACACATCCCCTGATGTAGAGAAAACCCAGCTAACTGAACTAACTGAACTAACTGATTGCAGACAGTACTAAACATCTCAGTGGTGCTAAGGATCCTGTGGTTTTAAAGAACACATCTTAAGCATCATTGTACCTTGCATAATTTTTTTGACAGAAGTTACCCACATTCTGCACTTAGAGATCATGTCCTTGCCATGTTCAGCCTCTATGGGTCAACCTCTGGGCCTTTGTGACCACAAGGAAGGGGTACGCAGCAAATCAGAGAGCTTGGCTCTGTCTGCCAGATGTTATTAGGACACATTGGGCACAGAAGGAGTTTTTAAGTCCTGAGTGCCTCTAAGATTTCAAGTTTTCATGCCACACTCTCACTTCTGGAGTCTGACCAGGTAGACAACATGCAAAAGCCTCAAAGGAAGAGATAGCATTTCCTATGAGATTGCTTCTGGCAGCCACCAGAGCCTTTGAAAATGGATCAAAAGCTCTGCTGGGAAGAAGAACAGTTTATGGAGAGGCAAGACTCAGAAGGATAGCTCTGTACTCCCTTGCTATGAATGATCACATCAAGCTTCACGTGATAGTTTCCCAGCCATGCTCCCTATTCAGTCTCCTGCCCTGCACATGCTGATGAGTCCACCAGCTCACGGAGGTCCCTGGAGAGGAAAAGACCCAGTGGCATGGTGCATTCCAGCTGTAACAGGTGAAGAGGGAAAAATAAGTTTGACACTCCAGCCATTGCAACAGAGGCCCAGTGGCCTAGGTTGCCTTGGCTTTTTTATTTGCCTGTCACTCAGGCTTTTACGTTATTGAAAGATCAAACTCCGTTGTGCTTGTTCATTACCTTAATCCTATTTTCTACACAGCTTTATTATCTCTTCAGGCTTCCCTGGGAATGGCTGTCAGAACAGCTGGGGCAGGAGGGAGAGGGTTTCCCATCTCCTCACTGCTGGCAGATGCCTCTATTCAAGAACAGCCAGAAGACTTGATGGGCAGGGGTATCACAGCACAGCCTCCATCTTTCTGGGGTACTCCAAAGCACTGTTGGACTGGGTCACTAAGAATCATGCACCATTAGCTCAATGCACTGGCGCTCTCTTCCCTGCTCCACCTTATCCTTTGTAGGATGCATTGTTTGCAAAGTAATTTTGTTACTTCAGAGAAAAAACAACTGTTTTAAATTTGTATTTGATACAGCTGACTTAGATAACCTAATCTATTTAAACTATAGATTAGAAGGCATTTGGTCTCAGACTTGCCCTGAGACCTGCACCAATCCTCCTCCACCTCCTCTCCCTAAATACAGCTCTGCTCACACCCCTCAGGCCCTTTCTGCCATTGCTCACCTCAATCCTCACGGCACTCCTTTGGATAATCTGTGCTGTGCCACTCCTACCCAGAGCATACCAGTCCCGGAAAGCTGAGCTGCCGTTCCAATAATCCTGCCAAATATTTGCTACCTGTCCATCACCACACAAAGACCCCCAGGCTGAGAGTTTCAAATTTGTCAGCAGTTGAGTCTCACGTCAAGATTTGAGATCAACATTTCCCCAGTTGTTAAGGTCAGCACCTTCCCCAAAAAGGAACTACTCAAAGGCCCCAAATCCGAGGCCACAGCAATTAACCTCCTCAGTGTTTATTACGACAGAGAGAAGACAACATGCCTAAGTCACTTCCACAGATAACCTGCCCACACCTCACCTCTCTGAGCTACCAGAATTGCCAGCCAAGACAAGATGACTGTAGAGCCTGTGTTTGCCTCTGGCTTCTGAGCACGACAGAGAAGGGGGTGATGGGAGAATAGGTATCACCTTCCTCACCCCTCTGGCTCAGGCTGAGGCATCAGAGACAGATGGAAAGGAAGGTGTAATGGGTATATTCTGACTGTACAGGGGTAATGGGAAGAAATCACGATGGTTGTGCCATCAACTGGAAAAGCTGGGAAGAAAAGTCAAGTTGCTCCCTACTGAACCAGAACCATATACACTTTTCCATACCAGTTTGTTCTGTCCCCCACTCTGTCACAAATCTCAAGTTTAAACATCCCTTGCCTACATGAACTAAAGGAATGATTTTGCAGCATTTCCAATATCGCATTTCTCATTGTTATTCACTTTTCTCCTCAAGTCCCTTCCTGTAACCTGGAAGCTCACTCACCTCTCAAGGTCCCAGATTCTCAGAGGTGAGGTGTGTCCACAGCAGGCTGTCCCCGTCACAAATGAGCTGTTTAAAGAAAACAAGCAAACAAAAACCACTTACTAATCCTCATGTTCTGAAGAAACAGTGCATGAGCAAGACAGAAAACAGGTTACAAGACAGACTTCGAATTCTAGTTCAAGACTATCTCAGCATGTCCCACAACATTTCACAAGGGACAGGCAGCAGCAGAGGTGCTCCAGAGCTCTTAGTAGCTGAGCTTCCCAGATGCAGCAGGTCACAACTGCAGAGAATTGGCAGGACACAAAGACACATTTGTGGGAAAACCTGACAGTAACAGCCATAAATTGCAATGACATCTTCAAACAAGTCAGTACAATACTCAGCATGTTTCATACGCTATCAGTGCTGTAAGCTGCAGAAAGATCTCATGGAAAATTCCCTGTTACTTCCTACTTCACACCTTTCTCCTGTTTGTTGACAACTTTTGAGCACAATCATGAATTGGCTGCAGCATTACAGGCCTAAAGAATCACAGAATAGAGGTCTTTGGTCCAGCCTGCTCAAAGCAGGGCCAATTTCAAAGCTGGATCAGGTTGCCGTCCCCAGTGCTCAAGCACTCTCTGTTAGAGGTGGCACAGCTCTCCTGCAGCAATATTTGGCTCAGTTCACACTCTCCAGAAGTGTCCATTCCGAAGTCCTCCAGGCGATGCTATGTCCCTGTTGCGTACGCTGGCTCCAGAGGTCACTTAACAGCCACTGGCTTCAAACTAGTTCACAAGACAGGAACAAATCCTTAAAATCAAGCATCAGGAATGTGGGTGCTATGGCTCTCCAAACCACACTGCTTGTTCTGTGCCAACTTCCTATCCTCAGTCCAAATAAGAGAAAGTAGCTCTTACAAGGATTTCTAGGTAAGCTATAAATGACCTCTCACAAAGCCACATTTATTGCAGCTCCCAAGAGTAAACTGCCAAAACTATGTTTAAGTCAATAAAACAAGGACAGCACAAATGCAGGAAATGGAACTTGCTTTAAATGAAAGCCATCTCTATGCTTTGCCTAAACATCTTTTGCTCTGTGACACAGGGCTGGCAGCTGAAAGATGAAAGCAAAATAAGAAAACAGTGTCATGTCTGTAAAAATAGCAGTTACAGTAGTTTTGAAACATTTCTTTGATCCTCTACAGCATTCCTTTGGAAATCAAGGTGTCTCCAAGCCTCTACTGCACCAGGAATGGATTCTTGTAGCATCTTTGACTTCTGTGAGAAGCACTACTGCTGGTGTAACAAGGCACTCAGCAGCCAAAGGGTAAACACGGGCTCAACTCTATCAAAGCCAGAGAAGGAAGCAAGACCAAAAGTCAGAACCCCTTCTACTCCTATTTAGCTGAGCAATTAGTTCCTCCAAATCATAAGGCCAAAGCAGCACTGCCAAAACACTGCAAAAGAGGCAAGCAGATAACATCAAATCATTTCAAAGAGTTACAGGAACCTAGGAAGAGCTTCAGCTACCAAGGCTCACTTTTGTGCTGGCTCTATACTTCCTACCCAAACTCACATACCTGGAGGTGTCCACAAGTCCTGTGACCCTGAGCTGCCCTTTAGGGCTAGGAAAGTCCTGCAGCACCAGAGCTATTTCAAAGTGTCTCCAACCATGCTGTCTTACATGCAAAATCCCAGGTTCACTGGCAGTGCACATGCAATCAGCCAATGCACCTGTAGCACTGAGCACTCCCTAGAGGTGCTGCAGGGTGCACACATTATTCTTCCCCACAGAAATCCCTGACCAAAGTCTAAATCCAAGGAAAAGCCAATTCCAGTTGTTGTGCAGCAGCCACTAGGATAAATTAAGAAAGTGTGCAGCATTTCATCTTTGGAAACAGGGTTTCTCCTCAACGCCTGCCTTCTCTCCACCATAGTGCAGGACAAGAAGGAACACTTCCCTTTTTGCCAATGTCTCCTATCTCAGAGGAAAACAAGCAAAAGACACCCACTTTGACAGCTCGTCAGTCAAACCCCATGTCTGGAAAGCAGCTCTTTGGTCAGGGAGTCCCTCAGCTACAAAGATAGGTGTTGAGTTCTGTCCCCCCTCCCCAAACATAATCCATTAATAACTACTAAAGCAAATTACTGTGGTTAGAAACATAATAGCAGTCAGGGAGTCAGTCAAGCAGGCAATTGGGTGCTTAAGATTTTTTTTCTGGGGGACAAACTGACTCTGTACCAGAAGTGAACACCCTCATGTGGGAGACAGGCCCCTTTGTGCAGAAGGTATGCACAAGGCTTTGATGGTTGCCACAGGCCTAAATTAGCATGGAGGCACACCAACAGGGAGAAAAAGGTGGGAGGAACAGCAAGGTCTAATCCCCGCTCATGCTGTCAGTTCTGGACTTCAGCTTTCCCTCCTCGGTCCTTACCCCCCACCCCTCAAAAAGAAAAAAAGTAAAAAAAAAAAGAGGAAAAAAAAGCATTAGATAAAGAGATTTCTCTCCACCATGGAATACAGGCCTCAGGGCCACAAAGAAGTCTCTTCTGGGTAAAGCTGACTCCATTCAGTCAACAAGAATTTTGTCTCCAACTTCAGCAGGATCAGGTTTGCAGGCCTTATCTTTAACAGCCTGAGCCCATTAGCAAGCACAGATAAGACTTCTCCCAGAAGAGCAGGCCACCTTCACTGCCAGCATTAAAACACAGCATTCACAAGACAACATGCACAAGAAGTGGTGCCAACGAGAAATTCTCAAAGCCTGAGAGTGAACTAATCTTAAAGTCTGGATTCCAGGAGATGATACAGGGCCCCTCACCCTCAGTCTGATCTGCAGACATATACCTTTAAGCCCCAGGCCTCTCATAATTGGGAACCTGGCAGAGGCGACAGTTTTACTCCAAGCAAAAGGGCAACACAAGTCAGCCTTGGCAGGTCTAAAACAACATGCAGATTAGAAGTAAGCATGTAAAGGTTGGCTACAAAACTTCTGAAATTTCAGTCAGCAGAGCTGAAGCTTTCTATCAGTGGCTTGCTTCTTTCAGTGCATCTCGAATAAGGCTCTTACATCTTAGAAAGCACAGAGCACACACAAGAAAACCTCTGACTCAGAGAAGTGCAGCTTCTTCACAACTGTTGCTGCAGGTTGCCCAAGAGAAACAACTCAAGCTGAGTTACTAGCATAGAGAGTGCCGTTTATATTGCCTGCAATGCTTTCTGGAGTCAGAGAGACTGAGGAGAGACTAGATTGGGAAGAGGGGAGCACAGGATACCCTATATATATTAATGCAGGCATGACCTATCCATCTGAAGTATATACAATACTATTAATATACACTGACACTGATCAGATGCATCTATGTCCAACATAAAACTGCTATGCTCAAGCTTCAGATGGCCTTGGAGATGCAAAGCCCCTTCTCCTAAGCTTTCCTCTGTCCTGTGAAAGCTGCTGGGTACCATGACTACAACCTCCCTCTAAAACGCCTTTCTAATGGGAAAATAAGCACCATTGCAGGACTTCCATAACAGGACATGTTGTCTTCACAGAGATACCCTAGCAGCTAAAACCAAACCAACATAACATTTCCATTTCTGCTATACCAGAAAGGCAAGGATTTTGCAGAGCATGAGACACACGTACTTCATACACAACATGTTTTTGCTGTCCAAAGCAAGAAATTTTCTAACTCATCTGATACTTCAGTGTTCTCTTTCTTATTTGAAACTCCCTACTGAGGAGAGGAAAAAACAAGAGAAAAAAAAAAACGACCAAGAACCTGCTTCTCCAAAAGCCAGAATTTCTCTGTGCTACAGAAGAGATATTTCATTAGAGATCATTCCCCCACAGCAGAAGCTGGGCCAGGGGATGAGAGAGAACATATATCCTGGCAGTGCTGTTGGAAGAAACACAAGAACTCTCCATCTGACTGACTTGTGGTTGTTGAAGATCCCATGGCATTTCTGGCAACATCAGTAGTGCTCTGGCTACAGTCCAGTTGCAATAATTCCATGCCCACTCCCAAGGTGCCAACTAGAGTTTCACCCGTGTAGCATCCCTCTTTACCCCATCCTGGACAGAACATTGCCAGATGTGAATGAACCAGAGGGACAGAGGTAGATGCCCATCAGTCCTTTTGGAAAGATGCTGTTTGTCATGAGGCTTGGAAACAGTCTCAGCTCCAGATATACAAATTCCATTGTACAACACATACTTCCCCCACTGTCAACTCAGGCTCCAGAGTAGGCCCTGCCTGAGCTGGGAATTCTGCAGTGTAAAGTCATTGAAGGAACCTGGGTGAAACAAGTCCTTTCCCACCTCTTCTCTCTAAACTTCCCCCATTCCCCAGGCTTGTGCCCTTCTCCTGTACTGTAAACAGATTGCTTCTCAAGTCCCATTCTGCTCTTCGGGGATTTCGAATCCAGAATCTGCTTGACACGTGCAAGAGTCTGTTCCTTCCTCCTGGCGCGCTCCCCCGCCCCCTGGAATTGGACATCGTTGTTCCATTTTGGAAACTATTATATATGGAGACTCACTGGACTGGGAAACAAAGAAGTTATTACTTGACAGAGCCCTGCAGCTGGGAATGTGGAAGGTGGGGGGAGAGAAGGGGGAGAACCGAGGGGAAACAGGCTGGGGGGGCTGGTAGCAGTGTTATGAAAGCGATCAACAGAAGGGACAGCTCAAAGATGGGAAACATCTATTTTAAAAAGTCTCAAGTGAGATGAGAAAAGAAGGAGAAGAGAGAGCAACTCCAAAACGGAGATAGGAGAAGAGAGAGAGCAGTTGGTGCCGACGGTGCCGCGGGTTAAACACACGGGTCTGTGGGTTTGTGTAGCCTTTGATTCAGCACTGACACGCTTTGGCAAGGGAGGCCACCGGAGCTGTCAAATCCTTCACCAACGTGCCCATCAATTGTATTCAGCTCTCCCCGACCCGCACTGGCATTTTAATTACTGTTGGGTAAACTAATTTGTACAAATGAAGGCAACTCTGCCTAATAGAATATGCAAGCTCTCTGACCTCTGACAGGCGATGACACAAGATACAAAGGAGGCAGAGGAAGGCTTTTTATCAG